TTGCCCCCCAGTGTCACAGCGGTATGTCTGCGGATGTACAACGCTAGAAACCGGGTTTCGATACCCGTGGTGGGCAGAGCACAGATAGCCCTTGTGTAGCTTTGTGCATAATTACAAACAAACAATCTGCAAAATTATTATTTGTTAGTACTCACAGGTCTTCATGAAGAGCATTAATTTCAAGTGGTGTACTATACTCGTGACATATCCCAGGATATTATAACTAAACGTTGCTTACGTTAAAATTCAAGAACCAATGAATACGCTCTTTTTAATCAAACCACCACTTTGGCTTTACAGAGTTTAGCACAGATCTGTTACAGACGTGGGATTCCCGTCACCATGGCTTGACCTAGCTGTTAATGTGCTCAGATAGTCAATATAAGGGTTCATGGTTCGCAGCCTGTTGTCACAAAATCGCTATAAGAGTGACTGTAAATCCACTAGTTGATCAACTAAGAATAGCCAAAGAGTTATTGGCTGGTTGTGTGGGCTATCTGCTTTCCCTCTAGTTTATCATTTCAAAATTACGGAAAAGCATAGATAGCATTTTGTGTGACTTTTTGCGAAAATTATGAAAAATAAGACGAAAAAAATATGTTTTGGAAAATTCTAAAGGCAAAATTCTCTAGTTTAAAGTGCAGGATTGAAAATTTAAAAATAACATATATTACATCAATACTAATCAATTGGTACTAATTCTTAAACTCCAAAAACATCATTACAATAATAAATAAATCTGCAGTAAAATGTTTGATCTATGTAAGTTTCTATGCCACTATTTCCAAACTTTTAACACCTGATAAGAGAATTCACATAAAGGGCTGAAAGCTTCCTCATCGACTGATTAATTAACTGGTGCATATATGTTCATTTACTCAGCGTATTTAACATGGCAAGCCCGATAAGAGCTAACTTTCGTTATATTAAAAGCCTAAGTTTGTAAACGATAGTCCGTGTTCCAGATATAAGGATCTAATCATATCAGCTAAGTAGCTGTTTTACACTAAGAAACACTGGCAACAGATTTTATTTATTTTATTACCATATCTAATACTTCAAATAGATGAAAGTATAATTAATGGATAATTTCATACTTGCAAAGAATAATATTAATTAGTTGATATTAAATCGGACTGACTAAATAAAATACTTAATTGATAATATTTTAGTATAAGATAAACTTAAGATGATAACCATAAGTTCAGCTTAATAAATCTTATTAAATTATTTACAAATAACACACAACTGTTTAACCTATTATATGTATGTTACGATAACAGCTAATTTCGTGTGTTTTTACCGGTTCTTGGTAGTATGTCAAAAGCTAACAGTGTGTCTTATCTAAGTTAGTGTTAGTGAGTCCACAAATATTCTCGCGTGTTTTATCCTGGTTAATGTTATCACGTCAGCAATTGTTATCTTGCGCTTTATCGACATTTCACATTAGAGCAAGCTCACACAATCAAATTCAAAAGGAATATGTCGGTGTTAGAACCAACACGGGTATGAAAATAATATAAATTTTACCACACGTCAAAACGCAGTCCATGCCAGAATATAAAAGAAAGTACACATGAATGAGATCTAAGGATCACATTTAAAAACTTTTAGCAGTTATGTAATGTGATTTTTGATCTTACAAAAATTATGACTTTCAGGTGTTTTGTAAACTTGTAAGTTGTTTCGTTCTCATGACTGAGTTACTCGTAGAAAATATTAGTGTGAATTCAGATCAAAATGGTTTTGATTCTCAAACCATTAATCTTTTTTTCCATGTACCAAAGCTACTTTTATAGACTTGAAAGGTCAGTCACTCTGTCTTCAGTGTTTGTAACTCGTTTTAAAACATTATATGCTCAATAAGTGATTTTCGTTTATTTAGAACTAAAATATAATTATTATGTGCAAAATTATTTTGAAGTCTCATTTTGATTATCCTTGACAAAAATGCACTCACATGTCTGGGTTCTAAATTTGCACTTTTTTACCTTGTGCCATTTATTATGATAAACATAGCATCAATAATTTAAAAAGCGAACAGAAGTTTCTAGGAAGTTGGAGATTTTATAACTTTTTTATGTATATAATTTACATGTTTTTATTGCAGGTACGACATAACTGTTCGTTACATATTATTTTTAAAAACACAGTTGTAATAAAGGGTATTGCCGACATTAATGTTCCAAATATTTTCAATTTTTAGAAAAATAACAGCTTGGAATTTATAGGTTAAAAAAAACGTTATTTTAAATATTCAAGCTTACTGACAAAAGTGCATAGTTTTCACCATAAGCTCTCGTGATTGGTAATCGGGATGGTAAGATTGGTATGATTCAAAGAAAGAAAAAATGCCACACAGATATTTCAAAAGAAGTAGATAAAAATGTTAGGCAAAATAATTAAAATATTCGCTTGAAATTGATTCCACGTTGATAACATATTGAGCTTTGCCTCGTCATTAAGTAAGGTCTAAAATAAAACTAAATGATAATAATAATAACATATTAACAATAACAAAGTCATGGAACGAGAGAGATATATAGCAAACATGGTGGGGTTGGGAAAACAAAGTTATGGAATCGAAACAAACGATACAAAAATCAACCTGAGATATTTGTCTAACGTGATTAAATTTAATAAAAAGGAATAAGTATTGCGTTCATAGTGTATTAAATTAAAGATTAAAACTGTAAGATAAACGTGTGAAAAATGCTTAAACACGGTGAAAAGGAAGAAATCACAGTATGTAGGCAAATAATTTTGTGTACATGTTAAGGGAAAAAAAAAAGAAATCGGAGCTAGGCCAAGGCAAAAAATAGTCAGGAGAAGCGAAGGCAGAAAGGACGAGAGAATTGGCAGAAAATACTAACTGGAAAAAAGTTTCTCCCTTAGGCCCAATGAAGCAAGGGACAACAATAATGCAAATAAGACGTTGCTTTCTGCGTAGGCGTGAACAGCGGTCAGTGAGTGTAGGCCTTAAAATCATTAATCTGAGATGTTAAAGATCATGTTGTCATCGAAACCATGCCGTGACAGAGGTTCATTTATGTTAGTGTTAATAATGTCTCACCTTTGCTCATGGAGTCTTACACAGATTTTACGATCTAGCTGTCTCGTATGTGCATAACATATTACAAAAGTCGCAAACGATATTGTTAACTTTGTCATTTTGGCAATATAGTTAGAGAACAAAAACGACCTTTACTCTCCAGATACCATAAAAAAACATTTTATTATTAGCTAGATAGTAAAGTCATTTTTTCTCTCTAAATTTATTGCCAAAATGTCTAAATCCCTCCAGATTCAGTACAAATTCTGAAAACAACAAAACCTTGTTGAAACGTTGTACATTTGCTGCTATGTTAAACTTGTATTAAAGTTTTTCTTCATTACCCATTCAAGCCGTCTCCAAGCATTATTAAATTGTTAACTTTGTTATTTATTTATTATTTTATACAATTTGTTTGATTCACATCAATGTTTTCCTGACATTCTTATTCACGCGACTTAATCAATGGGATATGATGAGAAACCATAGTTGAACTACTTTCGATCACTTGATTCAAATGTAAAACTCAAAGATAACACTTACTAGGTGAATAACAATAAAATAACGCCTATGTTGCAGTTGAAAGTGAAAAATCGAAGTTAAAGCTATTTATTTTTGCTTATCTGAATGTTTACGTCAGAGATGGTGAGTAGTTTCATTGGTTATTTCCAGTTTTTAAGGTACAAATGTATTTTAGTCGGCGAAGTATGATTACTGCACAACAATTTTGCTGAAAAGATGTAAAAAATGCAACGTTTACAAAGTTTACCAGATTGTATTTTTCTGCGTGATAATACATGTTCTCCGGAGGCGAATCACCAAAACCGATCAAATCGATGTGCATTCCAACTATAACATCCGGGAGTGTTTTTATTAGGTATGAGAGAAAACCCCAACATATACCGATTGACGACTTAATTTATGTTGTATTTTTCTCGCTCCATTACGTTCTTGATGCTCTAGGTTATATTATAATTTTGTTGTTGTTATTGTTATCAACAATACTTAGACAATGCCTTGTAAAGAGTCAAGTCTCAAAACGTTGTCAAAATATAATCGTTATAAAGCAGATTTTCACCCACTTTTTAATTACATTGAATAGTAAAATGTTTCTACGCTTAAAAGACTGGTAATCAAGCAGTTAGAACTGGTTAACAAGATTACAACACTGGCAGCAAAACTCACAAGACTAACGGTATTCAAGCTGCTAAGATTGGTAATCAAGCAGTTAGAACTGGTTAACAAGATTACAACACTGGCAGCAAAACTCACAAGACTAACGGTATTCAAGCTGCTAAGATTGGTAATCAAGCAGTTAGAACTGGTTAACAAGATTGCAACACTTGCAGCTAAACTTACAAGACTAACGGTATTCAAGCTGCTAAGATTGGTAATCAACCTATTATAAGACTAAGACTGGCAGCAAAACTCACAAGACTGTCAACCTATCTTGCTAGGTAGGAAATGAAGCTGATAAAACTGGTAATCAAGCTGTTAAACCGACAGCGAAGATCGTAAGCCTGGTGTTAAGATTTCAAGAGTTATAACTAATTACGTGATTGGTGTCATTCTCAACAAACTGCAAGTTTCAGATTTGCAGGATGTACAGTCAATAGACTATTGTTGTTTGATGCAACATAGGATATCATAAGCTGACTAGTTCAATTAACCAACTTATCTCGATCCTGTGGTGTTACTAACACACGGAATGTATAAGCAAAGATACGTTGAAATTCTAAATCTTTTACTACTCGTTTGACGAAATAACGATATATAACATCTTATTAATATAACAATTATATATAACAGGTTCACAATAAATATACAGTTAGATATGTATGTTACAAATTTGAACAGCTCTTCCAAGCACTTAACATAGTTTAAAGACATTGAATGAACAGGAAATAAATATATATATCGTTTATTACAGTGTAATATCTATCCAAATTCAGTTTCTAAAAACCAACAACATTCATAACTATTTCCCAGCAACTACTAATGAGGCAACGACACCTTGCGTATTCTTCTTTCATTGCTCAATTGTGCTTGTGATAATTCTGTAAATGTTTGAAAATGGATTCGAGCAGACTTAATATTTGCTTCTAGTAATTTCACGATGAATATTTTATACAAGTAATCAAACGACCTATAAGTATATTCAAAACTGTACAATTTTAGCAAATTATTGCATGTTACACTACAAAGAAATAGGCACATTATCACCAGAACGCCAGCATCTACTTATCAAACAAATAAAGTAACATAAGTTATCTACATGTTTTCAGCATATTAACCATACATGTCCTTTATATATATATATATGTCTGTAAACCTTCATTTACTTTATCATGGTCGTATATTCACTGTAAGGATACTTAATTTGTTTAATCGTACTAGGAACTTTCGCCATCTGTATAAAATTTCTATTTACGACCATAGATAAAGTATCTTTTCTCCTTTTGTAAAAGATTGTCCATGAAGATACATTTAAATTTTGAATCAATTGTTTCGTGTTTTTTAAATAGTGAATGCAATAAAAGATATTGTTTCCAACAATAAATATTACAATAATTTAAAACGGATGTCTATAAAGAAATAAACTATACAATTATTCGAATATCAAAATGGGATTGACGTATACACACAACATTTCTAGAAAACACACTATTGAAAGCTGTTAGTGTTGCTCTGTTTTTCATTACTATGTAACATTTCTCATAAGCATATATATATATATATATAGTTCATAAACTGTCTATCGATACTGGAATAGTTTTCTACAGATAGAAATATCGGTTGAAAAATACGATTTTAATAGTATGTGTAATTACATTTTAATTGATAATATCCGCTTACAATCGAAATCAGTGATTGACAACCGTTATTTTCACTCTTAGTATATTTTCTAGTGTTTTGCTCATTTCAATGAGCATAATCATGGTTATATTTTTGTAATAAAAATGCTTTATGTACATCTACGAACATCATTTTTCCTTAGGTAATGAACGTATACTGAGAAGGGAACATACACAGTGAATAATTAACTTACTGGAGCAGAAATATACAACAAATAAGTTAATGTTTAGCTAGATTCTGTGATGTCACGTGGATCATCCACCATGAGAGGAATGTGGATTTGTCTAATGAGCAAAGATATTCCTTCTGGTTTCATTAGACAACGACACAAGATCCTTTTAAAAGCAAAACGAAAGTCTTGGCTAAATAGCCCATAAATAAAAGGGTTAATTGCTGAATTGCAATAGCCTAACCAAAAGAATACTGAAAATAACAGCGGTGAAACACAATCATCACAAAAAGCTCCTATTAGGTATATTGTAAAGAATGGTAGCCAACAACAGATGAAACCTCCAACAATGATACCCACCGTTTTGGCAGCTTTTGCTTCAGCATGAAATCGTCTGGCATGCCAGCGTGCATTTCGTCTGCTCATGCGCGTAGAGTATAGCCTTCCTTCTCTCGTAAGTCCGTTATCACTTTCCCGGGAGCCTGATATTGTACTAGGGCTGTTTTCATAACTGGGTTCTTTACAAGAACCAAAAGAAGTTGAAAGTGTTCTTGCACTAGAACACGAACTATTGCGAGCGCTTCTACTACTTTCATCGGCACTCATAGCTGTATGTGACCTTTGACTTTTGGCACGTACACTGTGGTTTTGTGAAGAACCTTCTGGCACGTGGATGCTTGAGACAGTATTCCCACGATGCATTCGTAGAGTCAAAAACTGTTCTTGTCCTTGTTCGTTCTTACACTTACCTAGCTTGGTGGTCTTGAATCCTCTTTGTAAGGCCCTTCCTGTTTTGCTGGCTGCTGCGTAGATCTTCCAGTAAAAGAAGAGCATTACAAGCATGGGAATGTAGAAGGAACCGAGTGCGGAGTAGATGACATAACCTTTGTTACTGTTGAGAGTGCAAATTGTTACTGTACAGGTAAGACTAGTATTTTTTGATGGTAATGGGTACGTTGTTTGGTTGGTGGAAATATTAGCCCAACTAATTTCCCGGAGAAATGACCACGTTTCTGGTAAAAGTGGCGGCACTCGGTGACTGTTGTCTTGTAAGGATGCATTAATTATAGAATTATTGTTGTCTTCTGCTAAAAACGAAATGATTTCATTTTGGTCTTCCGCCAATGAAGAGTTGACGTGCTGGACAGCCAACCCGTCAGTTACAGAACGGCTATCGTTCCAGCCTACCAGTGGTGGGAAACAGATGATAAAAGCAAACACCCATACAGCAGCGATCACCAGTTTAGCACGTCGAGGCGACATGATACTTCGATAGTGTACTGGTCGAGTTATGGCGAGATAGCGGTCAACACTGATGGCACACAGGTTAAGAATGGACGACGTGCACAGCCACACATCAACAGCCAGCCAGATGTGACACCAAGTTTTCCCAAACACCCATACACCCAACACTTCCAAAGTCATAGAGTATGGCAGTACCGCCAGCCCAACAAGGAAATCTGACACAGCTAAAGACACAATAAAGAAGTTGGTCACAGTCCGAAGTTTCGCAGAAATAAAAACAGATAAGATGACAAGCAAATTCCCAGCAATTACAATAACGTTGATGATACAGAGCACGACAAATGAGGCAATAACTTGTGCATTTTGCAACTTTCCCTTAGAAATGCTCTCAAGACAATAAGCAGCAGTCGTCTCTGGTGAAAGCGCTCTTGTATTGCTGTCATTCATGTTGGTTAGTTTCAGTTCATCCGTAAAAGGAAATTTTCGAAATTGTCACAATCTTCTTTTGTTCTTGATGCTCTAGTCACAGTTCCGGGGTTTCTAGCAAAATAAAAACAATGTAACATGAGTTAATTTTAATAGTTCAGACTCATAAAAACAACATTCACACATTCAGAAACTAATCTGATATGCATTTCAAAAGACCGCTGAATAACTAAAACTCGCTTTCTTGCTGGTATCCTGTATTCTTTTACATGTTCATGTACAATGAAGATTTTCTTCCTGTTTGTGCATGTTTTAAAAAATTCTAAAACACGAGGATGTTGGAATTAAAAACATATAATGTAATGTAACTACCAGAAAAAATGGGAGTATTTGTTCAGTACTTTTTAAAATAAAAATAAAATGTTTCTAACACTAGCTTCCGTTAAAATACAGTAAATACTTGAGGTTTAAAAAATCACGACACTTAATAAAGAAATAATTTTTACTGTTTTCTGTTGTTTACTCTGTCTTATGAACAAAATTTGATAGACTATTTTGATGATAGCTAGAGACAAAAAGAACAAGTTGCTTACTTCAGAACTTAATTGGTAGTATTCTACAACTCTGGAAATGCCCAATTTAACAAAGAAAAAACACACAATACAATAGATCTTTACTTTTATAACGTTGGTATTTTTTATTCAAATGTAGCATTTGCATTTAGTTATTTACTGAAAACTATCCATCCGTTTGATAAACACAGTATAATGATTTTTTTCACCGGCCTCGATAACAAGTAGTAAAGTAAGCACATTTACACAAATAATAGACACAAAATATTTTTATTATATTTTCCCTCAAAGTGTTGTACAGTGCCTCTTCCGTCATCATTATGCAAGTAGTAAGTACCCATACAACTGCATACATACATTTTGTATGTTTTTTACATAATTAAAATGTATGGATGTGAAACAACCTAGCTGTATGGAAGAGCATGAATAGTGTACCAAGGCTGTGAGTCTTGGAATTCGTGGTTTTCTGTCTGCTTCCACAAAACATGCACTCACATTTTTTAGTCTGTAGGTGTGCTATAAGAGCGACAGTCAAGTCTCTCCATTCGGTCATACAAGAGTAGCCCATGAGGGCTATTCACATATAGTCCTTTGTGTAGCTTTAAGCAAAAAAAATGTGAAACAAACAGAAACTATTATGGCTATATAAATGTTTACTTTTTCAAATTAAAGGGATAGATACTAGTTGCTGAACTGTTCTTCAACTAAATAAACAACGGAGCTGAAACCAGAGTATACTTCAAGAGCAACATTAATTTTAAGAATAAAATTAGTGAATCATTTCACCAATAATGAATCACAAGATACAAACCAAGGAAAAGGATTGGACAGCGGGAAGTCTTAATCTAAGTCCATACAACAGGATTGGACAGCGGGAAGTCTTAATCTAAGTCCATACAACACTTCTAGAACTTCCATGAGTATTGTATATGTGAACGTCTTAATTCACTAAAAACTCAAAAAGCTTTATATATTACGTGCACTGAGGAACGAGACAATAAAGATTCTCCTCTGACTTATCCAAAATGTACCTTGTAGATGCACAACCCGTAAAAATGGCTGGAGTTGTAGATGCACAACCCATAACAGTGGCTGGAGTTGTAGATGCACAATCTGTAACAATGGCTGGGGTTGTAGATGCACAACCCGTAACAATGACTGGAGTTGTAGATGCACAACCTATAACAATGGCTGGAGTTGTAGATGCACAACCCGTAACAATGACTGGAGTTGTAGATGCACAACCTTTAGCAATGGCTGGAGAGGGAGGGAGAAGATACTCGTTACCAAGTATTTTCTTTTACCAAACGCATTTTTTTTCAGACCATTTAGAATCACGACTTTGTGTTTTTTTTTATTCAAAATAATTTATTACAATCTTGGTAATTTGACACTCAGACACTATCTTGCATTAGGGCAAATTCTGAACCAGTTGCTTCTATTAAAGATACTACTAATGAAAGCACAATATAATCTGTAAGTAAGCCTATATTTACTGATGTCTCCCTACACTATAACTGAACTGCCACAGACATTTTCATATTCAACGATGTCGGACTAAGTTTATTGCTCACTTCAGTTTCTACCGATAAAATTCGTCGATAATGAAGACTGCCATGACATTTGACTCATCTTTTAAGTGTAGATGCATCCATCCAATGGCGTTACTGTCAATATTGGTGATTTTACCAAAAGTCCAAACGAATTGTGCTTTGTTGCATGGTCGACTTCGAAGCTAGTAAACCTTCTTGACCTTAAGCTATTTATATTTTTGAAGCTTATTCCTTACTCTTTGGTCGCTATTAATAATTCCAGTTGTTTTTTCTGGATTTCATATTGGATCCATAGAGAGTGAGCTCATGATCCCTAACAGCTATGTTGTGTGGATAGCAATATTGGACTCACGAAACCCGTTCCTTACCACATTTTAATTAGTTCAGCTTTCATGACTTTCTCTGATAGCTTGTTCAATGTATTTCTAATACGAATTGGGGTACACTAAGCTTTTGTTAGGCTTCTAGAATTTGAACATTTCTAACAGTCTGTATATCTATTAAGAACGCCAGGAGGTAACATTGTCACACAATTATATAAACACATTTTTAACAGAAATAGCATGATCACATTTAAAAACGAAACAAGTCAATATCTTTCCAGAATAGTTATTATGTGCAAAGTCTTTCAAAACAACCGTAAAGTCTCACAACAGGACATATGAAACATGCACATAACAATGCCTTAATGAGGTTTGGAAATGAATTCACCGTATTTTTTGCAGACCGTACTAAACGCTCACCTCTTTATAATTTTGATGAAGCGTATGTATGTATATACATATTGACTAATTGTTCTGGTGAAGCATGTGTATATATACACATATATATATATACACTGTGTATTTGTTTTTGTGAAGCGTATATATGTGAGTACTTGTTTCGATGAAACGTTGAATATGTACGGAGTATATTGGTGAAGTGTATATATATATGAGTATTTCTTTTTGGTGAAGCGAGTCTAATACTTAACATATACATATATGTGTGTGTGTTGAGTATTAGATTCGTTCTAATTTCACAATCAATTTAACACTTTTCTTTGTAATTAGAAAAATTAAAAACATTTCCAAACGATCAACGTTTTTAATTTACACAGTTTCTTTGAATTTTAACCTTTTACTTTTCTTTGTAGTTGATTCTAATGCAAGCCGTTATTTGATTGCTTAAAGTTGATGATACCAGTAATTCTGTTATTTTAATCTCATGGGTACTGAAATCAAAATTTATCTTAACTATAATAAACTTCCGTTACTAATGCAGAAACCAATGAGTTTATAATTCTCAATTTGTCTCTTTCAAAGCAACATTTGTTCCTAACTTAATTATCGCTAATAACTATAGCATAGTACAGTTTTATATGAAGATCAAACATTTGAAATCCTTTATTGTTTTGCATTACTTATCACTTAAACTTTTTTTTACAATTTATAAATGCAATGAATTAAAAGAAAAGGCTACTAAGTCATATCAAACATACATTTATAATAAATTAAATAAACAGTTCCTAGTATCTTGAGAAACGTAAGTAGAAAGTCAACTTATTAAGTTCTTAAAGCACTGGTTACCAACATTTTCATTTGCAACGCTAAGTACACATTAAATTTTTAAAACGATGGTTTATAAAATCAGAAGCTAAGCTTGGCTAATGTCAGTTGATATAGTTGGATAAATATTAACCATTTTGTTTCCTATCTTAAATCAACTTGATGTGTTTTCACACGTCGAAAGCATTACATAAATGTAACTTGAAAATTTGTAGCACATTTTGTAAAATGTTTTAAAGTACATGGTATCATAAATTTAGTATCTCATGACTGCTTGGAATAAAATTTGAAGGAATAAAATTTATGCCTGTAAAGAGTTATTGATATATATATATCTAATGCAAAACAATTTGTAATACCTTTGAAATTGAAATAGATAATACTACCCTTAGTAGAAGTAAAACAAAAACATAATTTTATAGTATCACATCTCACAAATACACTACTGTTCAAATGTTAAGGAACAAATCGTTAGTGCTGAACAAACAGTTTGTGTCTTAAGTTTTGGATACCACTATAATAATTAATGTTAAGAAGATATAAAATCTAATATATCTAGTACATCTGGCAAAATTCCAAAACAAATATAAACATTTTGATACCTAACTGACATATGTAGAAGCACTAGAAGACTTTAAAAAGAATTAAAAATCACATGCAATGAGATGCAAAAGTTCAAGAGAAATTTGCAAACAAGCTACATTAAGAAGCACGTGAGCTCAGCCAAAGTAATAACTTTGCTCGAGTTCAACAAGTAAATAAATCATTAATATTATAAAATTATAGTTTAAAGCTCTTTACTGAGTCTTTTGTGATGTTTTTAATAATATATAACAGATCTTGGCCTTTTCGTGCCGATCATGTACTGAACTGGACTTTATTAAAATTTCTAGAATTTCACTTGTCATATTGATCTATCAACCTGATTAGTAACATTAAATCGTTACATATACATATATATATATAGAGAGAGAGTGTTTGTTTGTTTGTTGTTAAGCAGGAAGCTGCACAATGGGCTATCTGTGCTGTAATCTCTGCCGAAACACCCAATTTTGTTGATAGAATTCCTGAGCCTTACTGTTGAACCAGTGGTAGCACATATGTATCTATATATATATATATAAAGAGAGAGAGAGAGAGAGGTTTTACATTTTACACACAGTGAACTCCTGCTGCTACGTGTGTCCTACCTCATCATCTAAAACCTCTTTTGCTATGGTATGTTTTATCTATACCATATTATGTTTTGTGTATTAACTATATTTATCTGGCTTTTATATACAAACATACAATAACCTCAGTCTAAGGTATAAACGCTCGAGTGTTCATGAAAGGTTAGGAAACTAAAGTGTTCTTTCTATAAAATCTCAAACATTTTCCAAATATTAGTTAATTGGCTTCTCTTAGCAATGGGTATTTCATAACAGTTACATCACAGAGTA